CCTCCCCAGGGGCCGCCTCCCCAGGGACCACCTCCACCTCCTGAGGGGGGAAGACCACCTAGATCTCTCCAGGGACCACCTCCCCAGGGACCACCTCCCCAGGGACCACGTCCCCAGGGACCGCCACCCCAAGGACCTCCTCCCCAGGGGCCGCCTCCCCAGGGACCACCTCCCCAGGGACCGCCTCCTCAAGGACCTCCTCCCCAGGGGCTGCCTCCCCAGGGACCACCTCCACCTCCTCAAGGGGGAAGACCACCCAGATCTCTCCAGGGACCACCTCCCCAGGAACAGCCTTCCCAGTGATCTGGGTTTCAATGACAGGTATGATTCCAGCATATTCTTCACCAAGGGCTCTAAGTGCTGTAGTTCTCCAGCTTTATTGTGCCAATGAATCAACTAAAATCCTGCTGATGTTGCAATGTCCTAGACCTCATTTCTAAAGACTTGTATTCAGATTTTCTCGAATACGGTAACAGGACCTTGTATTTCTAACAAACTCTTTAAGAAATTCTGATGTTGAGAAACAACATTCCAAATAACCTGTCTTAAATTGTGTTTGCAACGAGGAAATAGTACCATGTTCTCTCTCTCTCTGGCGCTCTGGCTTCTGTCCACAAACTCAGAGATCTATCATTTAAAGTTTTTTATCTCAGCATGGTTTGCTCAGTCCTGCCTCATACCAGCTTCTCTAATACATTATTCCTGAAAAATGGTCCCTGAACTTTCGACAGCTACATGGTGTCTCATTTTATAAATACTTTTTAATAAGTACATGGTTAATTTAACAAAAAGTATGTAATGGAATGGAAAAGTGTGAAGTTAAATTTAAAGGCATATCTCATCTTACCTGCCTGCGCTCTTTTAGAAATCCACCACACTTTATTTCATCTTCTTTTTGAAATATTTATGTGGATATAGATATTTTCATTATTTTTCCCTTTGAATTATTGCCATAATTTATATGCCAGTATGTATGTTTGTCATTTAAAAATACATTCCTTTGATAATTTCCACATTAAGAACATTTCTTCAGTGGTTTTCTGTTAGTTTTTATATTTTTACACTACTTCATCTTGTGTCTGTGCCATGATTTTTTAATCAATCCACCACTGGACACTCAGGGTGGTTTAAGCTTCCCACTATTATAGAGTATGTTCCAGTTACCATCTGTATAAATATATCCCTGAACAAAGTCAACAGCAAGGAGTCATAACAACCTAAGAATGATCTTCTCTCTTCGTCTTCTAAGCAACAGTTTGGAGCACATTGTGTGCTAGGGCACCAAAAGGGTGAACGCAGAAAAAATTAGGGAGGAAGCAGAGGAGGTAGAAAGGATATGGGGAGAGAGGGTGGGCTCATGTACTCTACTGCAGTAACTCAGTGAGGAATTGGACATTTCCTGCCATCCCATGTCTGCTCTGTGAACTTCCTTGTTTGTTTGTTTCTTTCAGGAAGTGAATCAGAAGATATCCATTATTCAAATAATTCAAGTGCTTCAAATGCCATGACATTGGAACAAGGTCATCATAACACTATCTTTAATATACCAATAAAATAATCAGCTTGTAATTTCTGATTGTGGTCTCTTTTTCAGTGTTTGTGCATGTGGAATCTTAGGACCAAGAACACGTTATAAAAACATCTAGGGCCCCTTCTCCTTGATGCTTCAGGGAGCTTCCCTCATTCTTAATCCTAATTTAGCCAGCTGCCATGAAAAATGTTTTCGTATTTCTCTCCTTCCCTGATTTCCATTTTTTTTTTTCCAAGATGGAGTCTCACTCTCTCACCCAGGCTAGAGCATAGTGGCACGATCTCAGCTCACTGCCACCTTTGTCTCCTCGGTTCATGCTATTCTCCTGGCTCAGACTTCCAGTATCTAGGGTACAGGTGCCCACCATCATGCCTGGCTAATTTTTGTACTTTTAGTAGTAATGGGGTTTCATCATGATGACCAGGCTGGTCTCCAACTCCTGACCTCAGGTGATCTCCTTACCTCAGCCTCGAAACAGCTGGGATTATGGTGTGAGCCACCATGCCTTGTTTTTCCCTAAGGTCTATAACAGAAATTGAAAGTTTAAAATTATTTTCATATTGTTTACTGATATTCCAATACTCTTAAAGACAAAAAACGCAACAAAAGCAAAAAGGATACAGAAGCTGAAGCAAATCCTTATAATTTCTATGAAACTGAGAATGAATATGGTTCTATGCTTATCACCAGAGCCTGCTCTACCCCATGTACCCTATTGTAACAGTGATCACTTCTCTCCCCACTATGTTCCTCTTCATTCTTTAATGAAACCTGAATGAATTTCGTCAAGGAGGAGGCATGATTTTAAGGAGCAAAGAATGTGAACACTCTCAGATTTTAGTTAAGACATAGCTTTTTCTTGCTATCTCTGGGTTCTTAAAAGCTACTTCTACTCTCAGAGCTTCATTTTTTTCATCTAAAATGAGCATAATCGTAACAACTGCTTTAGAGGATGAAGACTAATGAGATAACATACATACCGAAAACCTCGCAGAGATTGGCACATCTGCTTCTCAAGCAAGAAAGGTTCAGTGTTAGAAAACTGCCCCTGTGCTCACTAATAGCCTCAGAGAATTCACTAAGAAGTTCAGCAAAATGAGAATGGAATGATATCACCGTAACCACCACCAAGGTGCACAACCCACATTCAGCTGAAGCCCAGGTCTCCGGCTTCTCACCTACTATTGTAGGTGAAGTCTCCCTACTCTCATCTCTTACCTTCCCACTTGATTCTGAACCACACTGCCCAATCAAGGGTTTTGCTTGTGCATGTGACCCTTTTGTCTCCTGATTCGTACAGGTATGCTTTATAAGATTATTTCTATCAGCACATGTCTGCTGAAATATCACCCATTTCTACAGAGGGCTTCCTAAGACTCGTAGTTCTTCTTTCCTACCGTATGATTTGTCTGCCATTTTTATTGCAAAAGTTATTGAAACATGTGTATATAATTATTTCCTCATTCTTCTACCTTCAATTTTTTTCTTACACACATTATAGATGCTTTTGTTCTTTCCACTCCAAGTCTGTCAAGGTCATCTAGTGCCTCCATTCCACTCATTTTAGGAATCAGTTCTCAGTCCTGCATCTCCTGTCACCCCTCAGCAGTTTAACACCATTGACCAAGATCTGCTGAAGGCTCTTAACATCCTCCTGGAGAGAGAAGCAGGGCATGAATCACAGCCCTGTACAAGAGAATATGCAAGTGGTCATACTGTGAGGTATTTAGAGGCGAGCCCACTGGATTTACTATTGGACTAGGCCATGGTGAGAGAAAGGCAGACAGGACTCCAATATATTTGAACAACAAAATGAAACTACTGTCATTGGCTGAGAAGACATTGGGTAGTGTTAAGGCCCGAATTCTGTTTCTCTTTATTTGCATGATGAAAGACTTTATTCCCAGCTTCTCAGAATATAACTCAATTTGGAAGCAAGGACTAAAATGTGTGTATTAAGTTAAAACGAGGCTGTTGTGGTGGCAGACAATCCCATCTGATAGGCGTCCTTGTAAGAAGAGGACATTTGCATACACAGAGAGACTCTAAATATGCACAAGCACCAAGGGCGCCCCTTTTGAAGACATAACAAGAAGGCAGAGGTCTAGAAGCTAAGGAAATAGGCCTCAGAAACACTCAACCTGCTGACACCACGATCACAATGAAACTGTGAAAAAATGAATTTCTCTTGTTTAAGACACCACTCTGTTAATTGCTTAGGTAATTATATTTAATAATCAGGGGAGAGAAGGTTTTAGGATGTTGAAATCTAGAACACTCTTTGAAACACGTTAGGTTTGCAGCCATTTTAGAAGGCAAGTGAATTACTGAGGGCTTTGAGCCATCTACAGGGGCCTGAGCTGCTGCCAGGGTATAGTTCTTGCTTTACCCACCCTATCTCTGCCTTTCAGCTCTTTGGTAAACTCCATTCTGATTGATTCCCATGAGTTTATAGCTGATATTTATTGTTTCCTGATACACAAACCTCTTTCACACTTTGCAAGCATTGGAGAAGATCAGGAGAAGGCCTGATCTGATTGATATTTACAAGCATCTCCTTCTGTCTTCCCATATGCAGCAGAGAAGGAGAGGAAGGCATGTCTTCCCTGCCTTCCTCTCTGTTCCTTCTCTCTGAACTTCCTTTCCTACTTGAAGGGCTACCATAAGCTTTCAAGGCTAAACTGCACATCTCGTTCCAGCTGCCAAATAGTGTCTGGTGAAACTGGGTACAGCTTATCCCAATAATAAGAGTACATGCTCTGCCCAAACCACAACTCTCTGCTTCAATAGTGCACGTGAAGCACAGTTACAACTGTTTCATTTTCCACATATACAGAGAGTATTTGGCAAGTGGTAATATATTTTCCACTCAAAAAACTTCCCTACATATGCTAGAGGAAAAACAGAAACAGGGAGATTCTGCCTAGTCACCTGGAAATCACAAAGGTATCTACAGCAAACTTGAGTGTATTAGGAAATACATTGGGTCTCACAAAGCTCATTAAAACATTCTCTTCCTGTAATATATTGGGTCTCACAAAGTTCATTAAAAATGAATACAATATTTAAACAACTGCATGGATTCCAACATTTTTTTGAACCCAAATTAACTCAGAATTCTCAATTGGTTCATCTTTCTTGATTCTAACTGGATAAACAAGGTTCTCAAAAAAAACTTCTATGCAATAGATGCCCAAAGGCTTGCACCAACTTTAGCTCCAGACAAGAACGGAACTTTCCCTGAAAATTCCAAAAAGTGGTATCAAGATCCTGAAGCATTTCTTCAAAGAATTGTAACAGGAATTAAAACATGGCTTTACTGGTACAATCCAGAAACAAAACACAACCAAAGCAATGGCTACTGAGAGGTGGAAGTGGTCCAGCCAAAGAAAGTGTGAATGGGCAATGGGCAAAGGTCAGGGCCAAAGTGTGTTTGAAAATCTCTCAGTGTTTTGCTTGTAGTATTTCTGAAGGGCCAAAAAATGATAATAACTGCTTATTATGAGAATGTCCTGAGAAAGTTAGCCAAAGTGTTAGTAGAAAATGCTTGGGAGAGCTTCAGCAGAGCTGTTCATCACAACAACACTCCTGGTGATTTATCTCATGGAACAAGGAAAATTGTGTGAGAATTCTGAGAGAAAATTATTAGGCATCCACATTACAGTTTTCCTTTGGTTCCTTTGAGCTTCTTTTTGTTTCTTGTGTTTTCAGGACGATATATATCATGCTTTCACCTCAAGGTATAGAATTGCCTTACTCATTTCTTGTAGAGCAGGTCTGGTGGTGATGAATTCTCTCAGCTTTTGGTTTTCAGGGAAAGACTTTATTGGTATTTCATTTTGAAGGTGACCTTTGCCAGAGATAGTACTTGTGGCTGGCAGAATTCTTTTCTCTAAACACTTTGAATATATCATTTCATTCTCTCCTGGTCTGTTCAGTTTCTCCAGTGAAACTCACTCCTGTTTTTATTGTTGTTTTTTTTTAATTATTATACTTTAAGTTCTTGGGTACATGTGCAGATTGTGCAGGTTAGTTACATAGGTATACACATGCCATGGTGGTTTGCTGCATTCATCCCCTCATCACCTACATCAGGTATTTCTCCTAATGTTATCCCTCCCTAATCTCCCCACCACCTGCTAACCCTCCCCTAGCCCCTCACCTCCCAACAGAACCCAGTGTGTGCTGTTCCCCTCCCTGTGTCCATTGTTCAACACCCACTTATGGGTGAGGACATGCGGTGTTTGGTTTTCTGTTCTTGTGTCAGTTTGCTGAGAATGGTGTCAGCTTCATCCATGTCCCTGCAAAGGACATGAACTCATCCTTTCTTATGGCTACATAGTGTTCCATGGTGTATATGTGCCACATTTTCTTTATCCAGTCTATCATTGACGGGCATTTGGGTTGGTTCCCAGTCTTTGCTATTGTAAATCATGCCACAATGAAAATACACGTCTACGAGTCTTTATAATAGAACGATTTATAGTCCTTTGGGTATATACCCAGTAATGAGATTGCTGGGTCAAATGGTATTTCTGATTCTAGGTACTTGAGGAATCACCACACCGTCTTCCACCAATGGTTGAACTTATTTCCACTCCCACCAGTGGGAGTGTAAAAGTGTTCCTATTTATCCACATCCATTCCATCATCTGTTGTCTCCAGATTTTTTAATGATCACCATTCTAACTGGTATGAGATGATAACTCAATGTGGTTTTGATTTGCATTTCTCTAATGACCAGTGGTAATGAGCATTTTTTCATATGTTTGTTGACTGCATAAATGTCTTCTTTTGGAAAGTGTCTGTTCATATCCTTTGCCCACTTTCTGATGGGGTTGTTTGTTTTCTTCTGGTAAATTTGTTTTAGTTCTTTGTAGATTCTGGATATTACCCCTTTGTCAGATGGGCAGCTTGCAAAATTTTTTGCCCATTCTGTTGGTAGCTGGTTCACTCTAATGATTGTTTCTTTTGCTGTGCAGAAGCTCTTAAGTTTAACTAGATTCCATTTGTCTATTTTGGCTTTTGTTGCCATTGCTTTCGGTGCTTTAGTCATGAAGACCTTGCCTATGCCTATATCCTGAATGGCATTGCCTAGACTTTTTTCTAGGGTTT